CTTCAGATTCCAGATGGTTGCATTTGTGCTAAAAAGACTGTCATACTGGATGACAAGATATTCAAGTTTCCAAATTAATATGAAGCAATCTACATCAAAAGAGATTATCATCGCAACAAAATAGTTATTTGATCATCATCATTATCTGTTTTTTTTATATAATCAAAAGGCAATTAGACTCAATTTCAATAACTTTCTGTAAATTTGTCCGTATAAAAATTAGTTTGAAAAAAGAAATAAAATTTTTGTTGTGTTAAAATATTTGGTCGTTGTTTTCAGTATGAATGGTTTGATAAAAGGGTAGTTTAGATGCAGACTTTTCACAAATGACGAAGAGTGTTTGGTAGCATATTGTTTAATTTCATTAGCCTATTCAATGTTCAGTCAGCATTGCGTTATATTATTAGCTCTCAGCACAATACCGCCGGAGCACAACATAAGCTAGATACATTAAAACGGGATCGGAGAAATAAAAAAAAACTGTTCCTGAAATCATTTAAAATCATTTTCTTTTTATCCTTCTTGTGGTGACCAAGAGTAGAGATTTCAAACATACAAAGTTTCAATGATAGCTATATATATCCTAAATGATCATAAACTTTGCGTATATGTTAAACTTATTAACGAAAATTATCTTTTATAGAATTTTTTTAGTCCACCAAATGAAATATTATTTAGGCCGATAAATTTGGTGCTGAAATTGCTGAAATGTTCGGGCTGGAACTTTAGTTTATACTTAATTTCCTATTACCGATTCTTGGAATTAAAAAATAATTGCTATCGGGTCAAGACCTCAATATGTCAATTCATTTAACAGAAAATCAAAAAGCGAAGTTGACTTTTGAGATAAACTATACCATATATTTATTTTCTCGTTTGAATTATATTTCAGTGCTACCCGATTCCTTTAAACGTGACACTTTGAATGTTTCTAGAAGTACGTTACATTTTGCGTAAAATTATCGGTTGAACACGCAATTTATTTAGTACTAGCATGAAGTTTACGCCCACCGATATTAAAGTATTGTAATCCATTATGTAACTGTAGAATATGACGAAATGAAATTCATATCCATCCTAGTATAGAACAATGTTTAAACACACTGACAAATTTAATAAATACTATAGGCTGCTATCTAAGAACCAATTTTAAATTTTTTAAATCACTTCAACAAGAACTATCAATAAATAATAATTCCTAAAAACATCTTGCGTTTTGTCATTATTATTGAGAATATTTTTTAAAGTTATTGACTCTTCTCGTAGCAAATTGTGAAAACAATACAATTCTAGTTTTTCAGAGTCTATATCTCAATATATGGTAGAAACATGTATTTTAGAAATAAGATTTTATTACATAAACTTGGCTAAATTGGTAGGTAATTTCTTTTTTATGAAATAAATGTTTTGTTCAACAAGTTAATTGTAAAATCACATAAATAAAAGCTTTAACGTACAAATATACTAATTCAGCAATGGTTTTAACAAAGATATAAAATTTCAAAATAAATCACTACTTGCATTTTTTTTTATGTCGACGGACAAGAAAAATGTAAAACAAATAAATAACGTGTATCAATTAGTAGATAATTTTTTCTCGAATTATGCAAAAAACGGTAAAATGATTCTAAAGTAGTGCGCGAAGCTTGAAGGCAACTAAAAGAACAAAACTTTAGAGATTCAATATCGGGTCACATGATTAAAACTTCGACACCGTGAAACAATGCATGGGATTCGGTCGCGAAAATACAGATCTTTCGATAACAAGACTCCAACAAAGTTCATACATACAACCATTCACACGCAAACAATATTACATAATGGTATATATTTTCTCTGTTCGTTCCGTTTGCTGGATAAACTGTCCAATAAAATAACTAATATATAATGTGCAACATATTTGTATTGTGCAGCCCTGTTATATGATCTTAAATTACTTTTACGGGAATAAGTAATATTAAATATTAAAATAATTTAATGAGGCTTATATGGAGGTATCTGAAAAACAATCTAATTTATTTGTATTTAGTAAAAAAACTCATCAATTGTCATCATACAAAAAGAGGGCATGCAGGCATATAACACAAACCAATCTATTTGTATATAGAATATTACGATCATAATAAAGACGCATGACTTTCATCAACCGTTAGTCAGAATTTTGCGTTATTGAGTCATTTCATAATGAAATATTTTTTTATATAACAGGTTTGATCAAACAGGAATGCTTTCTAATTCTATAGCAGGGTTCCGAATTCTTACAGTAAATCTTTTATTTTCGGCATTGTCCGTCTTTTATGAGCTGTGAACATTGTACATATACACGTGTAAACAGAAAGGGCCATTAAACTTTATTTGTGACATTAAATGGTGCCAATGGCATGTTTTGTAATAACAGTACCTCACAATATGAATCAAAATGGCGGCCGCATAAATAAAATGTCGCGGGGTTCGTCGTAAATGGTTCAGGCAATGGCAGCAGGTAGAAATTGATAACCTCATGTTTATCCGCAATTGTTCAAATTACAAAAACTAAAATATACTGCATATATTGAAAACAACTTCAAAATATGATAAAGTTATTTGGGGAAGAAATGCTTCCATCAAAAAAATTGAAAATATGACATTTGTATTTTACTTTCTTTGAAACAACAATTCAAAAATAATATCTCGTAACCATATAACATGAATCCAATCATTTGATGGAGCGGATTTTTTTTTCACAAACTTTTTAAAAATTGGTAAATCTGAAATGGCAGCAAGATCTCATGACGCTTATCAATTACCAACTTTTTAGATTCAGAATTACAGTCCATCTATCATTTGTTTATCACAGTATACTTTCAATTAAAAGTAAATATTAACGTTGAATGATTAACATCGCAATTCTTAACTGATCATATTAAAAAGTTGCTCAAAACAAAAAACTGCAAAATAATACGTTTTCTAACAAACACATTAATTCACAGTTGTATGAATGATTCAGCAATGTTTAAGTATAAGTATTTGCATTGATAATTTGAAAAAAAAAAAAAAATCAACAACAACATTCATTTTTTATAACCCAATCTCTACATAAAAATACATGCATCATCACGTATAATATCGAAAGTTATTAAAATTACAAAATCTAGTAAATTTTCTTATCAGAAAAATAGGGAATTTTCATCTTGAAAACGTGAATGTAATAATTTCACGATAATTTACTTCCGATCTTGCAATTCTATGGTGTAAATATATATTTCGCCCGCGGTTACTTGAAAGTATGTTAATTAGTCCAAGAAGATGGTAACGAAATGCGACGACATTTTGCTAATAAAGCTTAAAATTTATCACGAAAATGCTATACTATATATTATATTACGGTAATCTGTATTAAAATAGTCATGTATTTTTTATTGAGAACATATCTAAGATTTGAATGAATAATATAAATAAATATGGAATTGTTTCTTGTTTGCCTAAAACTCAATTTCAAAAAATTCCATTAACTAACTGTTTTCAAAAGTTTTGTAATATGAACTTTTTATACTACCTTTTTCAATTTTCTAAGTAATAGTGCTTCTATTTTGATTTTCAAAACGTTATTTTGTTACATTTATATCATGGGAAACATAACGAGTGCTACGAGAAAGAGTTGTCTTTGAAGTTTACAAATACAATGGTATCAATATCATTCAAGTTATCTATCACGTCTATTTCAAGTTTTCTAAAACTGCAGAAAATAAAACATACTAATTATTTTGCAAGTCAATTATTATCTCCACGAGATTTTTGACGGTTGATTTTTTTGGACCTTTTGATAGAGTTTATAAAATTAGGAATAACGGAATGAAAAAATGAGCAGATGAAAAGTGAGATTGATATAGACCAGCGTTTCCCAAACTTTTTTGACCACGGAACACTTACGTTTTTTTTATCTCGCCTCGCGGAACACCAAAAAATGGAAGGGTAAAAATGGTGCAATTCAGCGGTTCCCAAAGGGTGTGCCGCGACGCACTGAAGTCGTCAAAACTAACAAAATTGTGTAAAGCATAACTAAAATATGAATGAATGTTTTACATATTGCAAATGCTCTGTATATGAATCAATATACCGGTATTCATTTTTCTTTTCTATGTCGTTCACTTTCTATTACATAATGCCTTTGATGTTACGTAACAAGGGAGATAGAAGTTCTTGCTGCAATTTCGCGAGCTGCAGACCTGCAGTTTATTTATCTGCTGAATCAAGTTTAGCGAACATGGGTGATTTTTTCAGCATTTCAGAGTGAAATCAGGCAGCGATGGGGGGCTAAGAGCTGACTTTTTACCTTTACACGTTTGCCTATGGCATTGGTTCACAAACTGGGGTCCGCGGTCGCTTAGGGGTCTGCGAAGCGATTTTAGGGGGACCGCGAGACAACTTTAACCTCGACAATAAGTCGATATTTTAACGGCTCGTTAAATCATAGTATGCATAGATTAAAAAAATTCCAATTGTGCAATCATCACATGAAAATTTTCGATCTGGGATCTGTTTAATAAATATTTGCCTTTCAGAATAATTGAAACAACACATGATTGTAATATAGGAATATTACATGTTTTTTGTCCTCTAACTATTTTAAAATCTTTACCCATTTCTGGAACTATTCAAATATCCAGTTTATATTTGGAGTTTCGCATAAACAATTTCAAATGAAAACGTGTTCGAACACAAAAAGGTACCATGAAATAATTTATTTCGATCACGTTTTCAAAGCAGAAATTTTACAAGGAGAAACCTTTGACCATACTACTTTTACTTACATTATAAACACTAACTCAAGAAGGTGTTTGTAACATGCTCTGGTACTTTCCTAAGTAGTTTCAATGTCAATTCTTTTTTATACAAATCTTTTTCAAACTCAAACAAAAATCAGATATTAAATGTTATCACAAACATGAAAAGTTATGACTCATAAAAAATTAAAAAAAAAAAAAGTTGCCGGAAACTATATAAAGAATAGATCAGGAGCAAGAAAATCATATTTCTGAAGTTATCGTATCTCATAATACCAACTATCTATCAATATGAGATTTCTGACGATCTTTGTTCATTGCTGTGTTTTAGCATATTGCATGGCTTTAGACGTGAAAAATCCGAATCCTTTACCAGAATGTCAAATGAAAAATGTTCCGTAAGTCCGTTTATATTATTGGTTTATAAAATGCTTTTATGTAGAAATAAAATCTGGAACAATGATTTAATTATTTTTTCTTATTTCGAATGGAGATTTCTAAAATAATTATTAGAGAACGTGAGTTCTTAAAAAGTTCTAAATATCGTATGTGATCTTTTAATTATGCATGATAACGTTCAGTCATTTTTTCAGAATTAAGAATCCTGAATATTGCCAAGTTACAACCCCGACTAATTACTGCCCAACGAAAAAATGCAGAATCAAAATTACAAAAGGTTTTTTGTCAACTGATCCACCGACTGAAGTCGACTTGATTGGAGGTATTTACGAGGCAGTTGACGAGTGCGAGTAAGTCAATTATCAAATTATACATAGACATTTGATTTGAGGATATGCTTTTTTTACAAAACAAAAATATATTTCCATTTAAAATCGTATAAAAAATCTACCTTGTTTCTTAAATTTTAGGGTATACAATAAGAGATGCAGTTTATGGGTTAAAGATTGTACATGTCAAGCGAGAGTCAAGATGATATGGAGGAAAGCCAAAATTCAAACCAAAATTTCCAGAGAACCAGCAGAAAGATACGTCCGCATCAGGGTGAGTATTATTTTGTGTTCTGATTCCTAAAGGTTGATTACTGTATATTAAACCAGTGTTTATTCTATTTCTTCAGATTCCAGATGGTTGCATTTGTGCTAAAAAGACTGTCATACTGGATGACAAGATATTCAAGTTTCCAAATTAATATGAAGCAATCTACATCAAAAGAGATTATCATCGCAACAAAATAGTTATTTGATCATCATCATTATCTGTTTTTTTCCATATATTCAAAAGAGAATTGGACTACAAAAACTACATTTTATTTTTATTTTTCATTTATCATCTTTTGCTGCAATTTCCATGTATTTGAAGGGCAATATAACCAGATGTTCCTTAAAATTTCTGCAAATTTAACAATTTAAAAATGAGTTTGAAGAAATAAATAAATTGGGAAAATATAAAAAAAAAACTGAATCTTGGTTGAAAAAAATCGAAGTAAATAAAAGTTGTTGGATTACTGACTTTGGTACCAAAACAATTTTTTGCACAAAAAGAGGGCAAACATATAACACAAACAAATCTATTTATATATATACAGAATATTACCGGCACAATGGCTGACTTTCCTAAATGATCTCCTAGTATTTTACATGTGCTGTTTCGTAAGCAACATTACTTCACAATATAAATCAAAATGGAGTCGCGGAAATAAAATGCCGTTGGGTTCGTCGTAAATGGGTGTTGGTAATGATAGTTGGTAAATATTGATGTCCTCATGTTTATCCGCAATTGTTCATACTACAAAAGCTGAAATACAGTGTATATATTTAAACAACTTCAAAATATGATTAACAACATGTGAAACCAAGTAAATGTACGGATATATGAGAGAATCTAAATTAATAGGAGGAAAAAATGCTGCCGTCAATAAATATGATTAACAAAATATGATTAACAACATGTGAAACCAAGTAAATGTACGGATATATGAGAGAATCTAAATTAATAGGAGGAAAAAATGCTGCCGTCAATAAATATTAGGTTTGACATGAGTTCTGTGTTTTACTTTCTTCGAAAAATAATCTATAATTGGTTCCTCGTAACCATATCGTAAATTCATCAAGTTGATAAAGCGGAAATTGTTTTCACAAACTTTCAAAAATCGAGATCTAAAATGGCAATCAAGACCATACGTCGCTCATCAATTAGCAAATTGACAACACTTTAAAATCAGACAGCCCATTTTTCATTTGTATATAACAAACAATACTCACAGTATATTTTCGACGGAAGTAAATATTGAATTTTGGCATTGAAAGATTAACATCGCATAGCCAACTTTAACTGATCATATTGAAAATTTTTAGAATCCTCTAATAAGAAATTCCTCGAAACAAAAAGCTTAAAATTAGGAAGACTTCTAACAAACTCAATGAGGCGCATTTGTACAAAAGTAAAGTTATGTAGTTCCAATAATGTTTAAGTGTAAGTATCTGCGTTAATAATTAAAAAAAAAAAAAACATTCAATTATTTTAAAAAAAAAATTGGACTTTTCCCAGCTATCCCCCTCACTAATATATAAATACTCACATTATTATGTTAGTGTTTGTGTTGGGGTTATAGGAATGCAGATTGCACTGAAAATTGTAAGAATTCCGCATGAGAGTTAGAGCTGACTGACGCAAAAAGTGGATTATGACATTTTAATCGAGCTAAACAACGATGACAATGGCAATTACCTCCACTAATTCTTTTCGAACAATTATAAAATCGATATTATCCCGTAATTATGCTTGGAAAGAATTACTTGATTCAGGCACGGGCCAGTAAAATAAAGCTACAATATTAACCGGATTTATTATATTCCTAACCTGGTCTAAAGATAATTTGATTTTAATTGGTAAAAGTTATCGCGATGGGTATATTAGCATTATCGTGCTGTTTGAATTCAACGAATGTGATTAACGTAAATTAATTTAATAAGTAGAAATATAATATAGTATTATGAATACTAATTGCAAACATCACAAACTTTTCAAAACACAAGTTTTGTTATATATTATATAGTAAATAGCATTGAGGTATTTATTTTTGTCTACAAAATTGGATTTCATGAAATAATTATGAGATATGCAAACGCCGATTATAGCCATAGCTGTAGGCCACACACTGAATACCTCTATTTGGAAACAAGATTTTTTTCAAACTGATGACTCGCACAGGAGTAATTTGTTTATTAATTTAATCATTATGAAACTGCATTTTGAAACGTTAACTACGTCAGCAAAAATTAGGTTAATACGATTTTAACTGAGAATATATATATTTTTTTCAGTTTTCAAAATCAACCATGCACCTGTAAGCAAGGAGACAAATGCACTTGTGACAACGATAGACTCAAAATATGCAAGCAAAAATATAGATATGAAAGAAGCTACTTCCTTGTAATTAACACAGCAAAACAAGCAATCACCTTAACAAAGCCAGTGGTTTCTCATTCTACACAACAGAAACCTTATCATCACCAGCAATACTATAATCAGCAACAAGCTCAGATGAATTCTCAACCCAACAGCTATTCATCGTATAATAACCCGGCTTCATCGTATAATAATAACCCAGCCCCAAGCAACACCGATAATGGACAAGGAAATAATTATGATGAATGGTATAGCACAAGAACAGGCGAACTTCCCAATTATTACCCCAAACAAAATATGCCGAGACCACAAAATGTCGGCGGCAGCTCGATCTTAAATCATCTTATGATGCAAAAATTTATGGGCGGTTCCAAATCTGGAGGAAATTCAGGTATGATGAAATGGTTACTCATGTCTCAGATGATGAATAAACAAGGCACTGGACAACAACAACAACAAGTCGGATATGACACTGGAAACACTGCTCAGAATCATGCTTCCCACACACCTGGACCAAATACCCAGCACAAATCCAACGGACGACAAAAAGCAGCAAAACATGGCACCGTGTTCAGTCCGACAATGCTTTATTACATGATGAAGAGAAACAATAAAGACTCCGGTTCCAGTGGAAGTAAATTTCTTCAAATGTTACCAATGTTAATGGGAAATAACAACTTATTTGGAGGTCAATTGGAACTCAAATCTTTGTGGGTGCAAGTACCATACGATTGCAAATGTGAACACAGGGAAGAACAAGAATATGATGATGACGAAGACGATGATGATTCCATATTTTCACTCATTCCATATTTGTTGGGAGGGGGAGGGAACCCTATGACAGCATTAATGGGAGGGGGAGGGAACCCTATGGCAGCATTAATGGGAGGGGGAGGGAACCCTATGGCAGCATTAATGGGAGGGGGAGGGAAGCCTATGGCGGCCTTAATGGGAGGGGGAGGGAACCCTATGGCATCTTTAATGGGAGGGGGTGGAAACCCTATGGCAGCATTAATGGGTGGATCTGGTCTTGGTGGCAATCCACTTAATGTTTACAGCATGCTAATGAATCAGAATAATAATAATGACTATGGCTCCCCTAGATCAAATTCGCTTCCATTCTTACCATACTAAAATTTCGAATCAAATAAGTAGATATTTAGTTTATGGCCTCTTTAAACTGAAATAACAAATACTTAATTGAATATGAACATTTTTTACTATTGAATGTGTGCATTTTTGTTTTCAATGAATTTGTTTTATTATTTTGGAACTTGTTTATTATTTATTTTGTTAATATAAAAATTTTACTAAAACTATTTTCTTGTTTATTTGAGTTTTTGTAAAACATGGTAGAAAGGAAAAGCAAAAAGAACAGAGGATATTGTAAGATCTATTTCAAAATATTTAGAAACATAATAGATAGGATTATTAACATATTAATTAGCTACTGACAACTTATTCCTAATCACATGTAAACAGGGTTTTCATTCCCACATTTTATTGGTATCGTAGGGCTTCTGAAATAAAAAAATTCAAAATTGTAAAACAAAATTTTATGATGGTGTTCGGAGAAAAATAGTGATGAAATCGCAATCGGCTTCGATATTCGTCTTTATTACGGTGATTATGCGTGAATATCTACCGCATGCTAACTTTAAATCAGCAAAGAAACGTGAATAATAGTGCCGTTTTAAGATTTTTACCGTTTGTTTTTGCATCTTCACTCCGAAGAAGTGTTTCCCCTACACAAATATCTGAATATAAATTGATGTTTTTGCTGCGTAGCAAGACACAAGAACTGATCGTGGCAATTTGCAAAGCATTTTGAAATTGAGTCGGAAGTTTCACAAAACAGACTCCAAGAGTTCCGTGATTAGTTTCAGGCAAAGGTTTTAGTTTGAATATCTACGGTAAGACATAAACACATCACACACGGATCAAATATGTTGCATTCGATTTTCAATAGGCCCGCCTTGTTATAATAAATGAATGTATGATATATTGTCATTCCAACTTTTAATCGTTCAATTTATTTTATGATTTATATATAATAATTATGTGTATTTACTGTATTTTTTTAACTTATGGGTAAAAACCCGAAAAGATATAAAGCTAAACATCTTGCGGATTTGATAATCGGATTTCAAACTTTTGTTGTTTGTTATAGAAAGATTAAAACTTACTCGCTAATACTGTTCAAGGTATATGAATACCTTTGTTTAGCATTCGCGTCAATTTTCTTGTATCTTGTCACTTGCAGTCTAAAAGAAAAAGGCAGTTTTTTCAAATCAAGTTTCATAATAAAAATTGATCAATGAAAAAAGAGCGAAAAACTAAAAAAAATGTTAAACAATGAAAGCACAATTATATAAGTGTTAATTTGAATGGTTTCAAATTTTCGTCGATATTTATAATAAAATAATAAAACTAAATATATTTAAAAACTGATTGTCAACAGACAAATACTTTAATTATTCAGCATATTGAAAATAATTCCATAGGTATTTATATTTTGGAAAAACTGGAAATTTAAATGTTTAAAACGTTCATGTAATAATTGCACGACAGGGAGCTTCCGATCTGAAATATTTTATGACGCAAAAAACGAAAAAATCTAACGCTTGCGGTTATTTGTTATACATATATATTTGTTATATATATATATATATATATATCAGAGGTGGCCGACCTGCTTTTGACCGCGATCGACTAAAATCTTTAGAACAGTTTGCAATCGAGTGATCGGTAATTAGGTCATACACAATAACGAATGGTAACTGTATATAGTATATACAGATAACTGAACACGCGAATACACAGGATCTGTGGGAGCATTTTTAATGGAATCGACACAGAAATTTGTGTTTTCCATGTTCCATTTTGTTAATTTGAATATGTAATTGTACCCGGAGAAAATTTTCATTATTTTTTATTCAA